CCATCCATCCATCCATCCATCCATCCATGCATGCATCCATCCACCTATTGATCCATCCATCCATCCACCTATTGATCCATCCATCCATCCATCCATCCATCCATCCATCCATCCATCCACCTACTGATCCATCCATCCATCCATCCATCCATCCATCCATTTACCCATCCACTCATCCACTTTTCATCCATCTATCCACCTATCCATCTACCTATCCATCCATCCATCCACCCATCCATTCCCTGGGATTCGGCTGCACTTGGATCACGTTGTTTTGGCCTGTACCTTCCCTCCTTTGTGCAGTCAGGGCACACGGGGTAACCCTCTGGAGCTGTGTGCATGTTCACGCATCAGAGGCTCACGGCAGCCTGTGGGGGTGGTGCTACCATCGTCCCCTAAACTCCGGAGACCCCAGGCGCGGAGCGGTGAGGTGCCTTCCTACAGTCACGGCACCGAGGCAGACCAAGTGTGGTGCTTCCAGCGGGGCCCGCGCCAGAGGAGCCATGGGACAGCGTTGTCCAGAGGTGGCATGTGGCACCTGCCCCGGGACCGCGCCGAGGACCGCCCCTCCCATCAGCTCGGCTCTTAGCAGAAGGCACCGGCAGGGACGGGGGTGCCCATGGACGCCATTTGTTAATGAAGGAGTCAGGCGGTGAGGAGGCAGCTGGAGTCACTTTGTGCTTTGAAGAGCCCTAACCAGGCCGGCCTGACTTGGTTGGTCGTGGGCCCTGAATGAATGCTGCTGGAGTCGTGTCTTTGCATCGGATACTTCAGGTCAAGGCATTCGGGGAATGCGCTGGACGCTGGGGCCAGAACTCACTTTACCACTGACAGGCTCTGTGGCGTTGGGAAAACTGTCTAACCTCTCTGGGCTTCAGTTCTCTCATCTGTAAGTGGGGGCTTAGTCTTTTTATGCTCCCTTCCCTCCCTCCTCCCAGACCATGTTTTAGATGCTAAGATGGAAAATATCTGGATTGGAATCTTGGTTCCACATCTGTTATTATTTATGTGGTATTGGGCAAGTCTCCAGGCTATGCTGCACCTCTGTGGATTAAAAAAAAAAAAGCCAATTATACTTTGACATCCAATGATTATTATAAGATACATCTTGATTTCAAAGATGTCACAATGTGAAAATATGATGTATCTTAGAATTGCTAAACTTTGCTATCCTGAGTGCTTGCTTTTTAGCCTGTGCTTTGTCGCCCCATGGTCTCAGAAGAGCTGCCAGGGATCATGTCCTCACACCAACATCCCCATAAGGAAGGGTGAAAAGGGCTAGCCAGAAGTGGCTGGGTGGGGTGTGGGGAGGACACAAGATCTTTTCTAGAAGTTGCTCAGCAGACCTGCTCTTGCATACTGTCAGCTAGAAGCGGGTCATAAGGTTACTGCTACTGCAAAGCAAGTTGGGAAAGGGTTTGGCAAAGGGGAATGGGAGAGTCATAAGTGGCCTAGAACAATCCTTTTTGGCCCCTGTTTTGGGCATTGTGATGTTCCATCCTGCATGGGAGTTCTGTTAGCAAGGCCAAAGTAAGTCATTTGTTGGGCAGGCAAATCCCAGACTCGGCCACAGATGGGACCTTAAAACTCAGCTAACACCACTTCCCACCCAGCCCTCTGACTGATTTATTTTTCCAGCATCCTTAATAGATGGTCATCCAGCCTCAACTCGAGTCCTCTAACAGGGGACCCCACTTCACGAGCTGGCTCCCAGCCTTTCCAGCTGCTGAACTGCTGAAATGCTCTTGCTTAAACTGAGCCAAATGGGCCTCCTCCAATGATTCCTGGCTTTGCCCCTCGGGGTGTCCAGGTCCCATTGGTTTCCTCTTCCCGGTGAGTGCCTCCCAGGCTTTGAAGACTGAGCTCATCCTCTCCCACTGCCCGCCCGTCCCCGTGCACCTTCAGCACCCCCAACCCTATCAATTTCTTTTCCAGATCCTTCCTGACATTATTCTTGGAGGTGTCAGTCTTTTGTCATGGAGCTTGCAGTTCAACAAATCATTTCAGCCGTTCTTTCTTGAGAGTTCACTTTTGCTGGGCATTGTCCTCGATCCCAGGGAGATGGCAGTGAACAAGAGAGACCTTCCTCTGTCTGAGCCCACTGAAGAGCCACTTTACATGTACCCTCCTCCAGGAGGATTTCCCTGATTTCTGGTTAGGCTAGGGTCCCTCCTTTAGGCTCCCATAGCCCCCCAGGCCCCTCTGTCATGACACTCAGCGTACTCCTGACCTGCCTCCGTCTCCCGCTCTGGACCATGAGCCCTGAAAGGGCAGGGACTGTGTGTGGGCGGGGTGTTCATGCCCGTCTTAGAGCTGGCACGTGGTAGGTGCTGGATGCATGGCTGGTTCCTCCATGACTGAGCAGTTACAGAGGTGGTTCTCAGAACCAGGAGGAAGGGGAGCTCTTTGCCAATTCTGGGGGTGAGGACGGCGCTCATGGCATTAGCCCCTGCTTACGATGGCCTCCACGCTCTCCAACGCCACGTGTCCTTCTTGCTCCCCATCTCAGAGTTGAGAAGAGCTGATGTCAGACTGACTTGGAATCTTGGATCAGCCACTTACCCACTTACTGATTTGGGCAAGTGACTTAACCTCTCTGAGCCTCAGTTTCCTTATTTGTAAAATGCAAATATTAACTTTCCCCACCGGGTTATTGCGAGGGTGAAGGACTTAATACTTGTCAAGAACGGCGCGCACACAGCGCGTAACAGGTGCGCCACGAACTTCGGTCCTTGCTTCCCACCGCATGGGACTCCGTCAGCCCTTGCCTTTGCCTTGGGGTTGTTGGACAGGGTGGGGGATGGGGTGGGGGGGTGTTAGGCAGCTTGGGAGTGGCTTTGAAGAAAGCTGGGCTTGGCATTCCCATGCAGCAAGTCCCAGGGGACAGGGAGAAATCTGGGAAGTGACCTGCGTGGGAACCCAGGACAACCATCCCAGACCACAAGGCTTGGTTTCCCAGGCCAGCTGGGTAAGTGCTGATCGATCAGCATCTCCCTCTCCCCTCAAACTACACACAACACAAGATGAAACTGACGTCCAGAGAGGTCAGGTGACTTGTCCAAGGCCACACAGCAGCTAGTCCTAGATCTCCAGATTCATGGCCCAGTTTTTTTTTCTCCTTTTTTCCCTCCCCCTTGCCCAGGCATGTCTCCCTAATGGTCTCTCCTTGGAGATGATCAGGCCACCAGTCGCTTCTTTATTTCCCTAGTGAAGCAGAGCTGCTCCCTCTGGCCAATTCCCTAAGCTGCATTGATGGAATCTGGGAGAGGGTGAGGAGGCCCGTGGGGGACAGACTCTCCAGAAGGGGGATGTCCTCTCTCGGTGCCGTGCCCTCTCCCTGCATACCCCTGCACATGCAATCCCTCTGAGCTGCTAGGCGGGTTGGCGGCTCCTGCACACGGCCCCAGGAGTGCGGCTGCTGGGCTACTGCATGAGAGGCCCGTTACTGCAAGCTCCTGGAGGGCAAACACGTCGTTGTCACTAATATCATCCTGAGAAGGGCCCCCACCGTGCCGGCCGCCGTGTTCGGTGCCGTGAAGCAAGGTGAGGAGTGTACCCATTTAACAGCAGAGTTAGAATAAAGTCGCCGGCCAGGTCAGCTGCCCACCACCACCCAGCTAGCTGAGCTGAGAATGGAGCCTGGCCCAGCGCCTGGAGCCCACGGATAAGGACTGATGCTTGCAGGGTTCTCAGCATGTGCCGGACACCCTTCCAAGCACGTCATACGTCCTAACTTCTTCCCTTGGCACAACCACCCCAGCACCGCATGGTAGGGACTGCTATCGTCCCCATCTCCCTGATGGGACACTGAGGCAGAGGGAATGTCCAGTTCTTGCCTAAGGTCGTGTAGACGAGAAGGGACAGAGGCAGGGGACGAAGCATGTTCTGTGTGGGGCTGCTCTGTCCCTGTCATGCTGTGAGCATCCCTTGGTGATGCTGAGGCTGACGGTGGGCCAGCAGGTGGAAGGGCGAGCAAGGACTGGACAGGGTGCGAGCCCTGGGGCGGGACAGAGCCCAGGCCCCACCTCAGAGCACAGGGCAATATTTGCTCCTCATTTGGTCCTGCCCGGGCTCGAGAAAAGAAAGGTATGGGGTGGGAGGGAAGCAGAAGAATCTTCCTTTCCACCCAGCACAAGCTCAGATCTGGGCTTTCCTTCTCTTCGATGTTTTCAAGAACCCAGTGTGGCAGAGGGCAAGGCAAAGGGCAGTTGGCTCCCCTGCCAACCGCCACCCCCACCTGCAGACCACCTCTGCCCAGCGGTGTGAGCGAAGTGGAAGGGAGCGCACAGTCTGCAATCAGGGACGGGGTCTCTGCTGGCTGTTCCCTCCCGGGCTGGGACAGGAGCCCGCAGTGGTGAGGGGTGTGGGCTCTCGAGTCCGACTGCCCCGCTTTCAATCCCGGCTCCACCACCTGGGCTAGTGGACCTGGTAGAGAGGAGGTCTGGGTGATCGGGAGTGGGGGTTAGATCCATCTGGGGAAGGATGGAGGGAAGGGAGCCAGGCTGGGAGTCCAGTGGGAAGTGGGGCTGGGTAAGGGCAGCAGGAGGTCTGGAAAGCCTGTGTGCCAAGGCCGGGGTATCTGACCTTGTCCTGTGGGCCGGGGGCATTGGTGGGGGTGGCGGGGGGAGCCTCTGCAAGGTTCTGTGCAGGGGAGAGGTTGGTCCGATTACATCGAATCCCCAGACTCTGCCATGTGGCTTCCAACAAGGGCCCCTCCTTTCCTCTGTCAAACAAGGCAAAAATAAAATAAGAGGAAAACAGAGAGGGAGACAAACCATAAGAGACTCTTAATCTCAGGAAACAAACTGAGGGTTGCTGGAGGGGAGGGGGGTGAAGGGATGGGGTGGCTGGGGGAAGGGCATTAAGGAGGGCACGTGATATGATGAGCGCTGGGTGTTATATGCAAATAATGAATCACTAAACTCTACCTCTGAAACTAATCATACACTATGTGTTAATTAAATTGTATTTATTTATTTATTTTTAAGATTTTATTTATTTATTTGAGAAAGAGACTGAGAGAGAGAGAGAGAAAGCACAAGCAGGGCAGAGGGAGAGGGAGAGGCAGACTCCCCCTTGAGCAGGGAGCCCGACATGGGGCTCGATCCCAGGACTCTGGGATCATGACTTGAGCTGAAGGCAGATGCTTAAACGACTGAGCCACGAAGGCGCCCCTAATGAAATAAATAAAAAAATTGGAAAAAAAACCCAAACCCAAAAAAACCGAGGCAGCTGGCCTTGTAGGTTCTTGGGTTCCATCGAATTCCCATGTTAGGTTAGGATGCGGAGCCTGGGCATGGGGTCGGCAGAACTGTCAGTCGCCTCAGAGGGTCTCATGGGCATGGGAAGGTCCTGGTCCCCACATCACTCCCAGTGCAAGTGCCAAGCCGGTTTGGACCTCACATGGACCTGTCACCTTCATTCCCAGCCACACTCTGGCCTTCCCGGTCCTGCATCCGTCCTCTGCATGATTCTTCTTGCAGAGGGAGCAGTGTCTGTTGAGTCCTTGTGGAGGGCATGGGGGGCACGTCTGGGGTGTAGCGGGGCAGAGGGGCCTGAGGGAACAGGGTGCTCTGGGAAGACAGCTCTGCTGTTAGCACCAGAGGGAGGGGCAGAGAGAGAGGATAGGAGAGGGACGGTGGCAGGAGACCAGAGCCAGGGGGTGGGAGCATTTTTTTTTTTAACTTCATGAAAATATTTATTTGACCCAAATTACTTTTTTTTCCTTCAAAAATAGTAAGTGCGTAATTCTGTGGACATACTTAGTTGAAAGTAAGAGAAAACCCATACATACAACACAAAGATAAAGAAACTAATCAAGGGGAGCCTGGGTGGCTCAGTCATTAAGTGTCTGCCTTCGGCTCAGGTCATGGTCCCAGGGTCCTGGGATCGAGCCCCGTGTCGGGCTCCCTGCTCGGCGGGAAGCCTGCTTCTCCCTCTCCCACTCCCCCTGCTTGTGTTCCCTCTCTCGCTGTGTCTCTCTCTGTCAAATAAATGAATAAAATCTTAAAAAAAAAAAAAAAAGAAACTACTCAAGACGTATTCATTAGTGTGGAGTGGTTAAGGACATATCAGGTAGGGTGGTTGTAAACTCTCACAAATACCCAAGTGACTGAACTTGACAATGGAGCATGATTTTGCCAAAAGGTGGAAGGGAGCTGTGCCCTTAGCTTTTCTGTTGCCTGGCAGCCGAGACTCTGCGCACCGCTGTGAAACCCCAGGGCACCACGCACACCCCTCCTAAGCCCCCTTGGGTTCAAAGTCGCTAGGAGGTGTCACGTTATTTCTCCCTGCAGCAGGAATGGTTTCTCTGGCTACTTTCTGGGCATTCCATGGGTATCTGGGCAAGATGCATTTTTAATTTTTTGTTATGATTTGATGTTTTATTATGGAAATTACCAACCATAACCAAAGGTAGAACGGGGAGTGGGCAGGAAGGTGGAGGTTTTTGTGCTGAGATGGCATTTAGCTGGGTGGCCTCTGGGATCACAAAGCCGTGGGCTGTCAGAGCTGGAGGGCCCCTTAGCCACCACCCTGTGGCCCCTCGCGGGACAGAGGAGGGAACAGAGGCCCCCAGGGGACCCATCTTGCTTGAAGCCATGCATTGAGTCAGGGGCTGTTTCCTGCTTGGTGTCTACGCAGTGTTTAAGGAGCTCCTCCTGTATACACAGTGCTATCAGTACCCGGGGTCACCTGGGGTGTCGCTGAATACTGAGTAGGGGGCAGGGGACACAGGCACTCTGGGAAGGGTGGGAGATTCCTTGGTGCAGCATCACCAGCTGCCTGCCCCCCTGGGAGTGGCCTGGGGACCCTAAGACGGGCTCCTGACCCTGGGCATCCCCAGGGAGCACCCCAGGGCAGCTGAGGGGTTCTTGGGGGGGGTTCTCCTGGACCAGCAGATCCCTGTCCAACGAGCCCCACTGCGAAGCCGGCACTGTTCCTTTTCTCTCTCACACAAACACACGTTCTGTCTTGCTTTTTCCTTAAATTCTCTGCTCTCTCCTCTCTCCTCCTCCTTTTCAACCACACACTCTCATCTTCCCGCCTCTTCCCTCCTGAATCCCCTCCTTCTGGCTCATAAATTCTCCCCCTGGGGCCTTTTGCCAAGGGGTTGAATAAACAGGAAGGGAAAGAGGGAGTAAATCACAGCTGAGTTTGGACGGGCTCTGGGAAGGTCTCTGGCTCTGGGGACCATCACGAAGGAGCCAGGAGGCCTCTGCCTTGGGAACCACAGCCTGAGTCTGCAGGGTCTGGAGGGCTGGGGAGAAGGGGCTGCTGAGCAGTGGGGATCAGTGCTATCTGGAGTCAGCATCAGGCTTGGGATTGACCCCCGCATACTCAGAGTGAGGGAGGATAGAGCCCAGGCTGGGAGACTGGTTCTGCTGTGTGACTCTGGGCAAATCTCCTCCCCTCTCTGAGCCTCAGTCACCCCATCTGGAAGATGGGGCAGGACTGGATGGACAGGAAGGGTCCTTCCAGCTCTGATGCTCTAAGGCTCTGAGGCTCCATCGGTCACATGACATGGGGGGCTCCGGAGGGCTGGGCCTCGCTGAGCTGCCCGGATGGTAGAGATCATGCAGACCCCCAGCTTCCCCCCACCCCCAGAGGGCTTCTGTCAGAGCACTTAGCTGCCCCAAGACATCCTTGTGGGGGGGGAATGAGGGTCGGAGGAGGTGGCCCCAACTGGATGCCCTCAGTTTGGAGCTGGCTCTGGCTGAAACCTCCACCCCACGGCCTCCTCACCTCACCTCCAGGTGAGCT